TATATTATTTTAAGTTTTATAGCTTTTGTTTAATTATACTCTTAAGTCATATTACGTCTATTAAGAATCTGGTTACATCCATTAAAATGTTTAGCGAATTGTACTTTGATTTCCTGCCTAATTCATTTGGTTAATTTCACACTGTTAAAGGATGACAATTTATCTAGCTTATCAAGATCAAAACAAGTTATGGCCAATGGTCAGTGACTTTCAGTTGACAATATTTATCTGTTTCTTTTTTAGAGTTCTCTAAAGTTGTATCAGGATACTCATCAGGAATATGCTCGAGTAAAAGAAGAATGCTTAAAAAGTGATGCTCAGTAAGTGATTTTAAAATTACTGTAGAAACAAGGTTTTCATCTTTGAAAATAGGTAATCTTTAAATCAATAGTGTTTCTTTTTTATCTGTGTTTGGACATTTTGCCCATAATTAGCTGTGTGACCTTGAATTATTTAATCTCTCAACCATGGTGTCCACATCTTTAAATTATTATACCTACTTTGAAAGTTTACAAGGGAGACTAAATAAATCATCATCTATTAAAGGGCTGCACAAAGAACTCCATACAAGTTTTTATGTTTCTCTCTCTCTGTATATTTATATATGCATGCATGTGTGTCTCTGTATAAACTGTAGTTATTGGCTCCTTTCTTTGCACCAGTACTTTAACAGATATCGTGTGTAATGGGTGTCTTTGTTGCCATTGATAAAAAGGGCTATTCAAAAGTGTCTTCCTAATTTTGAAGTTTGATACTACATTCATGCTATTCACAAAATACACATGTGAGCTAGATACTCAGTAGTTAAATGTGGCTGTGATGTAGCAGTGACTCGGAGTTACTTGCCTTCTCCAACTCTCAGAAATCCATCTTAAAACAAGTGCAGTTCTCCAACCACTGCCTTCCGTAAAGTGGTGCTGTGAACATAACACTATTCATGCTCCTGAAAAGTAACATTGACTCATTAGACGCTGGACTGACTCTTGGAGACCATCTGGACACATCTGCTAGGCTCCTAGATGATGCCATTGCAGTGCAGGGGAGGTCCCAGATGTGCTCATGGCAGAGCCTGGATAGGTACATAGCATGTGTTTCAAATGGAAAAGACAGATTGCTTTAATTCACTGTGGGGATAAGTGCACACTAAACAGTGTGTTATTCTTTCTTAGGTTTATATCATCAGAATTGAAAATTTCTTTGTTATGTAAATCTCAGTTATTAAAAAAAGCTACCACAAATTGCAATATCATATTTTTTTCTGTTACATTATTTTTTGCAATTTAACTTACAAAATTTTGTTATTAGGAAGAAGAAACTAGAAGCTAAGGTGAAGAAGCTGGAAGGTAATTGGCACTCTTGTTACCTGGCTAATGGAAGTCATTGGTCATTATGCAAATCATTGGTAACTATGAGGTTGTACTACTTGATCAAATAGTTGAGTCGTTGTGGTTTTCGATGGCACATCCTTGCATGATTTCATTAAGGGGTCTATTAGAAAGACATGTGCATACTACACTCCTCTCGGTCACCAGGTAGTAACATAGAGACGAAATGTGGCGAATCTCTGAGATGTTATTGCACTCAAAACTGTAGAAGCAGACCATACTTTTGATATAAAAGCAGTAATTAATGAAAGGATTTAATTTTGAAAGTTGAACCTCATGGGGCTTTCTTATTGTTTCCTAATGAAGTATATGGTTAGTAGAAAAGGTTACTGTGCACAGTATTAAGACATTAATGTATTTAGATAGTTACAACACCCCCGTAGAGAGGTTTCTGTGAGATTCTTTACATTGGGGATTGTCTAATTTGTATCTGATCTTCTGTGTACCCGACCATCTTGTTAGGGTCTATTCTACAATGAGTAGGCACAGTGTAAAGGGGCCACACAAGAATCTATCAGGTCCTTGCCTTTGAGCTAATAACCCTTTCTGATTCCTGATTCCATGGGAATTGGACTCAGGATCTTTTCATTTGCTTTTTCTTCCCTTCGTTGTGTGGTTGGGGCACCAACATAATGTCAGATAGGGACAACAGGGCCCCGCCGATCCCCTCTGCACCTGATACTCCTGTGCTCCAGCCTGGATGGCAACAGTCTTTCCTGCTGTGGGTTTCTGACCCGTGGGACTGCTGGTGCTCTCTTTCAGAGGTGGCTTAGTCTCATCTAGAGTGTGAAGTGAGACTTGAAATTTAGTTACATCAGGGCACATAGAATAGTAATTGTTGAAAGTATCTCCAGTCACTAATTTATGTAGATTGAGCCAAATATTGTAGACTTTATAAATATTTTGGTAACAGTTTTTCCTCTGATTTGATTGTTGCGTGACAGTATTGCAGGTAGTACAGCATTACTATGTTCTGTATATTGGCTTCACTTGCTAGATGTGGAGATGTGTCTACTGTATTTCAGCAAATGTTTTTAAAGTGCCCTGAAATGCCTATGAGACTATATGCAACTTTTAGAATATACTTTTGTGAAGCAAGAATGTAGCCTTTATTTTTCATATAACAAATATATATGTATATATTTTTAAGTGATATGGCATAATAAAGATTATTAAATAAAGAAATACTCAAACTGTTAGAGGAGTCAGGAGATGATTATTACTAAGGTGTTTTATGGGATTTTACTTTTCTTAGTAATTGTGTATGAGCACATTTATGTAAAGCTAATACTGGTCAGATTATTACTAGTGTGTCTGGATCATTTGGTGCTTCAGAACCAAAAACTAGAATGAAGGAGTTGCTGAAAGTCCAGAGAAAAACTGTAAAAATAACTAAAAAGAGGATGTCTAACAAAGGTTTTGGGAATTATGGTTTGTTAACTTGCTAAAGAGAGTTCCAGGGAAGAAGAGTAATATCGATAATAAGCATTGAGAAACTCTTCTGTCCCCCAACCAGATAGACAATGTTGTCAACTATATTCTGAGGTAGAATCATAGTTCTAAAATTTCTCAGACTTTAAGGTTGTTGATTACTGAAATAGAAAGAACACGGGGTTACCACGGCATCTCCCTGTCATGCGCTGGGCTCTTGCCTGACTGGAAGGGTTTCGGGTGGCTGTGCCTAGTTTGGAAAGGATTCTTAAGGCCTATTCCACTTCCATGGTTTGATAAATGACAGTGAGAAAAGAAGTGTTCCTGAATGATAAAACACTGAAAGAGCAATAACTTTGTACAGAGTTTGTTTCAGAGTTTTAAGAAATGAGAAAAACTTGTAATAGATTAGATTTTGAGTATTTCATTAAGCATAGTAGTAAAGTTAGTAAATTGTTTTTCTCTCTCTATTGATTCATCGCACTTTTTAAATGAAGAGGCTGCCGTCAAGCAAACTCAGGACTTCAAGCAACTGAGAAATGAAAAGAAAATACTTGAAAAGGAATTTAAGAAGACACAGGTACTAGATAAAAACAATGCACAAACATTAAATTCCTAGCCCCAGGGCTCCTGTCATGTCTCTGTGTTGTAACTATGTAGGCATCAGGCATGAGCACCTGGCAGAGGCGGTCACAGTAGCTTGTTAAGTTGCACCTCTTTTACATTTGGTCCAGAAGGACTGCATTTCTTATTCAGCATAAACACTATTAGTGCTTTGTTTTCACAGGAAAGGCTTGACGAATTTTCTAAACAGAAACATGAAAAGGGTGAGTAGTTAGTTAAAGCTTATATAAAAATCATTTTCATATGCAGGGTTTTTTTTTTTTTAACTATTTTTTCTCCCATGTTTTTAGAATTGAGACATATTGGAACACAAATTTCAAGTGATTCGTATGGAAGCATAGATAAAAGTGAGTATATTAAAGCTTTTGTTTTAATGTTGTAGATTGCTTTTAGTGGTTTGGGAGGCTGCATGTTGCTCTTACACATAATGTGAAAATGCCAGGGCTTAGTAGATGTTTCCTGTTGGAAGACGACATACATTATTATGTGTCTTCCTTAGATCCACATATATGGTCATCTTATTGTCTTATAATATAGTGAACAAAAGCATCAAAAGCAATATTGTTGGGAAAGGAAAACTAGTTAGAGATATAATTTCTGCACTTTTCAATTTTAGTAAGTATTGATTTTCTCGCTGTATTATAATTGATTACATTAATTTATTGAATTCCCTAGGTGCCAAATATCTAAAAAATGTTGAAGTCAGGTAGGAAAATTACTGTAGAGTCAAAGTCCTGTAGTAGATTTTCAGAATATAGAAGAATTTAGGGAAGACCCAAAGTTTAAAAGAAAAGTAAACTGGTGGTAATGGAACAAGGGAAATACAAATGTGTACATGCACATTTTATTGCTGAGTGCCTTACAGATGAGAAATCTAACTTGAGAAGGTGAGAAATTAGAGTTTTCACTCATTTATTGTGTGACGCTTGGCCATTTACTTCCCTGTTTTGTGTTTTCATTCTTCCTCTTAAAAATGGAGATTATGAATTTGAATTTCTCCTGTATCTTACAAATTTTGGGGGGAATAAATTTTAAATGTTTAATACGTAAGTAATGGTAAGTCATGTCACTTATGTGTTGTTTTTCTCTAAGTGGAAATGATTAAAAACATTTAAATTGTTATGTGCAAGCATATAATGTCTCTTAAGTCACCATTACCTTTTTTTTTATTGCTTCTTTAAATTTTTTCTTAATTTAATTCAGCGCACAAGTTCATGTTTCCCTTGGCCTAATGCTTTAATAGTCCACGTTTCAGCTGCCTGGGCACTAATTGGCCACTTACACTATCACTAATAAATAATTCCATGTGCTTTCTACTCTGTTCTTCCTACTGTTGTGTATGGAAAGTGAGACTTTGAGATAGATGGCTGAGAGAAATAGAAGACTTGACAACATTTTGCCTTCCCAACCAACAATCAGCTTTTGAATCGAATCGCCTTCTCTTTTGGACTGACAGATGTGTTTCAGGATTCAGCTGCTCCCAGGCCTTGCTGTTCACAGCAGAGCCCCTCTACCCACTTCCATAGTTGCTCTCTATCCCTGCATTCGGTGTGATGTTTTTCAAAGAACTTGTTACTCCTCAAGTAAAATTATTTTATGTTTTGTTTTTATCTACCATCATGATGAGGGCAGGGATGTTGTTGTACATTTTATTTTCTCCAAATAAATAAATGAAGTCTTTAGGAATCTGCTGATTATTTAGCTGTGGACCTTGATGGGTTTAATACCTAATTCTTAAGTGTATTCTTAACATTTTTCCTTGTTAATACTTGACTTCTGGAAGAGATTTGTAAGTTAGGCACTAAAGAATATTGGGTTGACTTCACTTTACAAAAAGGATACCCAAGTGCAACCCTCCCTTTCCTTCCCTTCAAATTCCAATAAAAATGACCGAAAATAAAAATATATTTTTAGTAGGTCTCCTGGATAGTTAAAAAGTTTTCCATCCGTAGTGGAAGTTAATGAGGAAGATGCACAGGAGAAGGTATCAATTGGTGATGAAACCCACAATTGCAGAGAAAATAGCAGCTCTGAAAAAGCAAGTTTTGTGGAAGTCCAGAGTTTCCCCAAATCAGAGGTGGCACAGAGTAAGAGAAGGAGCAGGACATTAGTATTTTGCCAGGCAGTTGATTAAAGGCTGAAAAGTTTGCCAACCTGCTGGTTTCAAAAACTGTTTCTGGCCTTTGCCCATAGATTGGCCCTTGCCCATGGACTGGCCTAAGTTTAATTTTCTAAATTGTTAGCTATGACATGGAAGGTACCCAGAGTAGGTGCGGATGTCAGAAAATTGGGTAATTATGGCTACTTTGAGGGATAGTCCCTCCTGTCCCCAGAATATAAGATGTTTATATACTCCATGTAAACCCCCACAACTGTGTTCACTCGCTGCTGCTTCCCCCTCAAAGGCAGGGTTCTATAGGTTTATGAAACCAGAGTCTACATTTATTACCAAAGGCACAGGACTGAAAATGTAAGCTGCAGAAATATACTTTCGCTACCAAAGATGTTCTGCCTAAACGCATCTAAAACTTAGAGAAAAAGCAGTGACAAGAAAGGCACCAGATGCAGGAAGACTGAGGAAACAGTTTTAAATCATGAATTAGGAGAAAATGTTAACAATCGAATTATTATTCTTAGAGAAAATCAACATATCCATAGACTGCTGCTATGGAATTGAATCCTGTTGGGGATCTTGAAAATTAAAAATATAATTGCATAAATAGTAGAAAAGCAAAATTGTTGGATTGACAAATAGAAGATCAATTCATTTAACCAAGAGATTAAATTCTAGGTGCCTCTGAGAATGTGGTGCAAAGCCACAGACAAATGAAAGGTACTAGAGAAAATATAAAGATTGTGAGGTAGAGCCAAGTGTGTCAGTATTCATCTGTTGGGACTCAGAGGGGAGAAAAGAATGATGAAGAAAGAAGAAGATCAAGAAGTAATGGAAGGAAATGTCCCTGAGCAGAAAACACATGCAATATTCATATCTGTAGAGCATGATTTTTGTGTGTAGTCTCTAACTGACATGTTTGTAAGAAATATACCTAAAAGCAAATGAAGCGGAAAGATTGGATATAGAGGGATGTATAAAGATATTTCAAGCAACGGTAACATCAGAGCAGTCATATGAGGCAAAAAATAATTCAAACTTCGAAATGAATTTACATGATTAAAAGGCTGATTAAAGGTATAATTCACCAAGAAGATACTCTATCATGTACCTAAGAGCATGAAACTATGTCAAGCAAAATTCTTGGAAATTTTGGGGGGAATAACCAAATCTCTTCTTATCATGGGAAGCTTCAGTGTTTCTCAGAAACATAGAGTGAAAGCAGATGAGTGGAACTGAAATCACAATTCCAAGATTGATAATTTACATACAACTCTTTGTAAACTGCATACCTAGAGTTCTTTAAAACATTTTGCGAACATATGTAATAGTTGACTAACATAACAAAAAATCTACAATTTAATATGAGACATTAATAAAAATCCCCCTCCCTCTACAAAAACGAAACCCACAAAATTTACCTAGTAAACACACATAAACACAAGCCCCTCTTGGATAACAAATAAAACTGAAATACTAAACTGTGTTGGAAATAAACAATAGGGCGATATTTTTTAAAACCTTCAAGATGTAGCCAGTTCCTTTGATATTGAAAGGAATGTTTTGTGGCCTTAAGTGATCATTTTAGAAATCAAGAAATACAGAAAATGATGTGTTTAACTGAAGGAGGGAATTGGTGAAGATGCAATGGAAGTGAACTGAAATAGGAAATAAAGCAATTTGTTTGGGACCATTAAAACTGTTAGCTGGATCTTTGCAATGCTGATGAAACCAACAACTCTTTGGCAAGTTTGATCTAGAGAAGAAGGCAGAAAAACCCAATTGCACCAGGACTGAGAAAGCTATAAAACTACAGTGGAGAAATTTCTTAATTCACAAGTTCATATTTAAATGTGAGAATATAGATGAAATGGACCATTTTCTAGGAAAGCAGGCTCAAATTTACTCAGAATAGTTGCTAAAGAACTAATACCATGATAAATTCAGGTGGCTTATGGACAAGCTCTGTAAAGCCTTCAGTGAAAACCTAGTGTCTTTATGTTTCAGAACTTAGAAAATAAGAAATGGTTCCACCTCATTCTCTTAGGCTAGCATAACTCTGTGCCAAAACCAATTACGAATAACATACACACATATCTTAAGACTCAGAACTTTTCTCACTTGTTAATATAGCTGCAGAAATGCTAAATAAAGTTTTAAGAAATCAAATCCATGAGTAATTTAGAATACAAGCAAATTATGCCTTAACAGTTTATCTTAGGAATACTATAGGTGGTTCAGAGAATGTTAATTCAGCACTCATTCCTTAAAAAAAAAATGGTGAGGGAATAATAAAAAATAATTTGAACCTGAGAAAGTTTTAAACATTAAAAGTTTAGTCATTACTGTCAGAAACAAGGTAAGCATGGTTTTTTTACCTTCATTACTTACATACTGGAGGCTCTAACCAGTGCAGCAAAATAAACATGAAAGAATAGGAGCTGTAAATATTAATAAGAAAGAGTCAGACTGTCATTATTTTAGATTATGTGATTAATGTAGAGAATCCAGAAGACTCAGCTAGAAACAGAATTAGAAGTAATAGGAACTTGGTAAAGTGAGCATATACAGTGAACTTACATAATATACTATTATTAACCTGTCAGAAAAGAAGTAGAGTAAGAACAACTTATTCTCACATGGCAGCTGAACCAGCAGATGTCTAGGAAAATACCTAAAAGCAGTGTGCAGTACCTCTGTGAGGAAAACTAAACCATTCCTGAAGAGCATTAAAGTCTCAAACTATAAAGATGTACAATTTACCTGAATATATTTATAAATATACAGACTCACTCAAAATCCCATTGAGGTTTTCTATGGAAAAGGACAGGAAGATGGTGAAGGTTTATCAGGAAGCATACATGTTTGGAATAGTAAAATTTTTAAAAAGGAAAAAAACATCCAAGATCATGCCCTAACAGATATTATAGCATGAACTTTTCATGATTAAAGAAGTATGGCATTGATACAAAAACAGACAAGGCGATGGAGTAGAAAAGAAATTTCATAAATATTTAAGTCCAGAAATATTCATAAATGCCTTAGAGTTTGATAAAAAGAAGCATATTAAAGGAAAGATACCGTTCAATTTAGTGAGGTTTTATCTTCACAACTAAGTATAAAGCCACACTGAACACTGAAGATTTGTTTTCTGCTTTGTTGGGAATGGATAGTATTTTTGTGTGTGTGTGCTCAGATTAGAGGTAATGATTCTCAGAATAGACATAGCTCTGGTTAATAGCCTCCATAAGAATGGATAAGTAACTTTTTTTCTTTTTTTTTAAGGTTCCTTGTTTGCTGCTTTGGGTATACCTAATAAGCAGGGATCCTGGTCAGGTCATTTAAGCAAAAGGGGATTACAGTATTTGGAAGCAGGCTTTTGGGTAGGTTAAATCACAATGTAGATAAGCTATGTGATCCCAGAGTTTTTAAATTCAAAAATGAATGTGCCTCGCACACAGTGATAATCAGGAGGTTGAATTGGCTCAGAAGAGACTGGGATTGTCTAGCCTTTCAAACTTACCTATAACTGCCCTCTGCATTTGTCCTGGTCCCTTTCTGTGGACTTCATTTTTTGGAGTGGTGCAGTTTGCCATCTTAAATAGGGCTAACCTGTTTCAAAATTGTGATTCCCTGGAGATACTTTGATTTAAACGGTTGCTCTTTGTAGCCTTTCTTGAACTAGATTAAAAATTTCACTAATTTTAATAAATGCTTAAGGTTAATTTAAAAACTTAAGTTTAAGGAAACTATAATAGAACTTTGAGGTGACCTGAAAGTTAGTTAATACTCAAAGCTACTTTTAGTTGAATTTTGATCAGTGTGGGTTGTCTTTTTATATACATTTCACCACAAGCTATTCATATTTATATTCTCATGAATATTTTTTGCTTTGGAAGGTTTTTTTGGAATTTGTGTACTTAATGTTAAAAAAGCTTTAAAACCGTACTATAATATTCTTAATGTTACAGTAATTTCATTAGGGTTGCTTTAGTTATAACTGCCCTTGGCCTTTCAACTTGAATTAGTGGTTCTTAACCAATTTAGGAATCCAGACCCCTTTAAAAATTTATATAAATTCCAAAGGTTTTACTTTCCTTTTGAAAGCATGTGCTTCTCTGTTTGCTATGTGTGATTATCTGTTCCTCTCCATATGCTCATGCACACACATTTTGTCTCCCACCTCATTTCCATTGATGGATTTGCTACGATCCGTGAACCCCCACCAGGTTAATTATAGCATGCACAACTCTGATGACTTTTCTAATAACCTCATATACTGAGGGATGCTTCTCTGCTCTTCCTTATAGAGTCCGTAGAGCCCAAATCCCTTGTATTGTATCGGTCATTAACTGCTTCCTTCCCCCATCTCACAGCACTCTGTGGAGAAAATGTATGGGCCAAAGATTAATTTGTTTACAGTGTTGCAGCCCTTTCCATTAATGAATTGTGCATAATGGTTGAGTTTGGGGAAGGTGTTGAAGTTACCTAGTTTCCTAAGTCCCTAATAAGTCTGATTTCGCAGAGTTATGTTTTGGCCTTGTGTAGGCTGGCGATGTGACTTTAATGCTTTCTTTTTCACAGGAAAAGTAAAACTGCTTCTGAAGGAACTCTGGCTCTGTGTAAACACAACACATAGACTACCTGGTGAAGGCAGCGGATGTATCCCAGGTAAGTGTCCCAGCAGGTGTGTTCCTGGTGAAGGTAGCAGATGTGTCCCAGAAGTACATTTCTGTACTTCTGTACTAGTAAAATAGAAATGCTTACCATAGACATTGCATCCTTTAGTTTTTAGTATCTCCTGATTCTACATGAAAAGAATTGAATAAACTAGAATGGATACTTTCAATTATACAAAATGCCTTTCCCTTCAGTGTGACTTCTAACCTCAGTAAGTGAATTTAGCTTTTAATCTTTTAATAGCTTTCCTCAGAGAACATTCAAAAGAGCTGGAAGGACAGATACAGAGGTATGTTGGACAGGCATATACGGAAGACCTGAAGGATGCACAGTTTTTTTCTAGATCATTTCATGAATTTTAGTCAACCCATCAGCAGTTTAGCTTCATTCGTTTTTTGTAACTACCAATTCCTTTTGGCTGAGCATGTTGATTTGCAGTAAAATGTCACAGAAGCATTCTACCAAGTTCACAGTTAGAGTCAATGGAGGGTTTGTAAATAGATGTTAGCCAAATACCTATTTGGAAGAGTGGAAGATAGCTGTCTTGTTTATAAGATTAAAGTGCTTCTTGTTTAACTTTTTGTCATTTTACTAATTTCTTATGGTTGGCTGCTGTGAATTCACAGATCATTGAGGATCTGAATCTATAGAAACATGTGCACCTCGTTTTCCTCTCAGGTTTCTGAAGACAAAGTTCCCTCAGAAAAATGTTAATAGGCAAGTTACTGATTCGTATTTATGCTGCATCCAGAACTCATCAGGTATACAAAGGCATATTTGATGGGGTTCCTTTAAATAGGTTTTTCCCTCCATTCACCTATTGGGTAATAGCATTGATAGTAACCACGTGGTGCTTGCAACTCCTGGATTAGTCACTTCAGTTCAGCATTTCTCTATCTGTGTAGGCAGAAGCAACCTGGGGATCGGTCAGTAGTCTGTTTTAAGCACTTGGTTTTATGATTATGATGTTATTAAAAGGGCTGTCATTCACTTAGTAATCTGATGTTTTTATTTAAAAACACAGTTTTGAGGAGTAAGTCTGTTATGTTAATTTTTTCAAGGTAGAAAGGGAAAGCATGGTATTTTTGTAATCTTATACTATAAAACATATTTTTTTTAAAAAAAACTTTATTTATTTCATGTGAGAACAGTTACAAAAATAATTTAGAGAACTCCCTTGGAACCCTTACCGAGCTTTCCCAAAATTTCACATCTTCCATTACCAATGACCCAAACCAGAACATTTGGTTCAATCCTGTTCACTAAGCCGTAGATTTCCCCAGTTTTTCCACTGATGTCCTCTTTCCGTTCCAGGGTCCCATCCATGACCCTAGTTGCCTCTAGTGGTCATCATGCTTTCATCTCCAGTCTGACAGTTTCTTGGTTTTTCCTTGTCTCTCGTGTCTTTAACCCTTGGGAGAGTATTATTTTGTAGAAAGCCTGTTGCTCTGGCTTGTCTGACATTTTCTCTTGTAGATTGAGGCTGCGTATTTATGGCAAGGACAGCGCAGATGTTTCCCTCTGCTCGGGGCGTGGTGCTGGGGAGAAGTGTTAGCACTGGGGATGGTAACCTTGATCACTTGTTCAAAATGGTGTCTGCAGTTTTCTTTATTGTAAAGTTACTCTTTTTTCCTAATGAATTAACTTGAGAAAGATATTTTAATAATATGCAAATGTTCTGTTTCTCTCAAATCGTCACCCACTGATTTTAGCATCCGTCAGTGGATCTTTCTTACCTGCTACAGTTACTGCTTTGGTGTTTGCCAAATAGTGATTTTTGTATTTCTCTCATTCCTTCTGCATTTATTAATTAGAATTTTTCTGTAAAGAAGAGCTGTGTCCTTTCTCCATTTATTTATTTATTAACCTATTTGTTTATGTTAGTACAGTCTCATAGATACTTACTCTATACATTAGAATTCAATGCTACCATTATTTATTGTTTGAATTGCTCTAGCTTTGTGGGAACTTCTTCAGATTGTCTCATGGGCCCTTCAGACATACTCCATCCTTTTTTGAGTACTTTACCTTATGCTATCTCAAGATGTTTCAGTATCAACTTGTGTTTTCCCTCCCCAGCTATCAACCACTTTTCCAAGGAGCCTGGGATTCTTTGTAAAACTTTTTTTTTAAAGCTTTCAAATATAACAAATGATTATTATGTCTTTGCTAATAATTAGTACCACTGGAGTTCACCAAAATCAAGACCCAAAAGGATTGGCTTTACTTTTTATAGGAACTTTTTCTGTTCAGTTATCATATGAAGTATTGAGGTGACCTTGTTAGGTCTCTCAATTAGAGCATTGTATAGATATGGCTGTGGGTAGGCTTGATATTGGTTGATTTCAGATCACATTTTGGACAGAGAAAATAATGTCCCTTTCAACCTATATACAAAAAGTTGTTTCTCTGCCAAATTCTGCTAGTTATATGGTAAGATTCACCAAGAGAATGAGTGAGTTAACAAGGCCCATGACCACCTCTGCCAATGCCTTTCCAACTGTGCATTATGGGAATGGGTTGGTGGGTTGTCTCATCCGTCCACCCGTCTACCTGTGTGTCTCACTTTTCTTATTGCAAGGGTAGCATACTTAAATGAAATGTCTTCTAGGATAATATTCAGGAAGCAATTGACTGCCTTTTTAAAAATGTTTCTACTTATGGGAAGGGTAGGGGTGGGATGAAGAGAGGTTGGTTAATGGTACAAAAATATAGTTAGAAGAAATAAGATATGATGTTTGATAGTACAGTAGGGTGACTATAGTTAACAGTAATTTATTGTATAGTTCAAAATAGCTAGAAGAAAAGAATTAGAAAGTTCCCAACATAAATAAAAATGTTTGAGGTAATAGATGCTCCAGTTGCCCTGATTTGATTGTTACACATTGTATGCATATATCAGAATATCACATGTAACCTCAAATACGTACAATTATGTGTCAATAAAAAAAGAAAAATTGAGCAGATAAAAAATATTTCTTACTTGAATTTAATATTGTAAGCATTTTAAGCTCTTAGAATGAGGTTATTTTTTTTGTAAGTTTTCTTGATATTGTAAATATTTGATACCTACTTTTTTACCTTTCCACAGAAAAACCTGCCAAAGAAAACACCAGATCCAGAGTGTCTGGGAAAGATGGTACACTACCTCCAGCACAAGGAAGTCCTCTCGGGGCCTCAGATGTGCAGACATGCCTCACAAAACTGTCCATGGAGATAACGGGTGATTTATCTTCATGTAAAAATGTGGAAAAAGAGAGGCCTGGTAGAGCAAATTACAGTACTGGCCGTGTTTTTAAGGAGGATGGGAATCCTGAGGTTGTAATGCAGAGTCATAATGATGGTGACAGTACTGACTTTTCTGACCATGATCATTTTTTTGATGAAGATCTTCAAGCTGCAATTGACTTCTTCAAACTTCCCCCTCCGCTTCTGTCTCCAGTGCCCTCACCCCCTCCAATGTCATCACCACACGTGGCTTCCTTACCTTCTTCACTTGGACCTGTGAGTTTTGTTCTTTGAATTTGAATTAGCAAGTGGGCACATTGTCCATCCTAATATGTCATTGATACTCAAAGGGTATTTGTGGTATTTTGGCAAAGACTATTAATTTTAGCCAGTTTTATTATGAGTAACATGAGAATTTAAAAAGGCATGCCAGTACCCCTTGGATCAACGTATATACATATATAGGGTGATTTTTTTTTTTTTTTTTTTTGAGACAGAGTATTGTTCTGTCTACTGGCTAGAGTGCAGTGGCATCATAATAGCTCACGACAGCCTCAAACTCCTGGGCTCAAGTGATCCTCCTGTTTCAGCTTCTCAAGTAGCTTGGACTACAGGCGCGTACCACCATGCCCAGATAATTTTTCTAGTTTTCATAGAGATGAAGTCTCACTCTTGCTCAGGCTAGACTGGAACTCCTGGCCTCAAGTGATTCTCCCGCCTCAGCCTCCCAAAGTGTTAGGATTACAGGTGTGAGCTGCTGTGCCTGACCTGAATTTTTTTACTTTGTGTTATGGTTGCATTTTTTATTTGTCTTTATCCACAACCAAATTATAAGTTTCCTGTAGGAAGACGGTGTCTTCATTGTTCTTATCTCTAGTGCCTGGCACAAAATAAATATGAAATGAGTATATTAAATATATATTTGTATGCATGGAATTTTACAGTGATAGGAAAATCCATGTATATAGTATATATTCCCATTAACCTAGTGAAGCTGAATTCTCCACCATTATTTGATGAATTCATCATCATATCATGTGCTTACAGAGTGGTTTGTAGTGGTTTCTGAGGAAGTTAGTCTTGATGAAGCATATTTGTATACTTTTGGGCTTAAGGAGCAGATAAATGTGTTCAGTTCCTTGGAGTCACCTTCTTGCTTTAGGAAACATCGCACGTCTGTTATGTTGCAGACACTGGGCTAGGCAGAGATGACAGTGGATGCAGTTGCTGCTCGGTTGGGTCTGTTGTGTGGAGGTGGGACCAGTAAGGGGGCAGACGAGGGCTCTGTTGTGCCCTGCAGTGCTGGGAAACACTCTGCTCGAAAAGGACACAGAAGAGCAGCTCAGTCCTGAATGGAGACCAGGGCAGGTTGGGATGCGGGGTGCTTCTGAAGGTAGGCTTCTCCTACGGAGTTTCGGAGAGTGGGTGAGGGTGTTTCAGGGAGGAGCTGTTCACAGAGCATATAGGACTGAGGGTCAGCACCTTGTTGGGGAATATTTGTGCAGACCACATGGAAGGCCCGTGTGTGCCCTCCTAACAAGTTTCCACTTTATCCTGAAGGCAATGGGAAGTCCTGATGAATGCAAAGAATGGGCTTGAAGATAGATTTTTATTTGAAAGTTTCAGGTTAGTCACAGTGCGAATGAACAGGAAGTGGGGACAGTCAGGAAATGGGCGAGACTGTAGACGGGCAGTGGTTTGATAAGCAGTTCACATGATTCTTGACACCTGAACCCAAGTTAGGGCATTAGGGTTAAAGAGGTGGGGACTGGTTTGGAAAGTGTTACAAGAGCACACAAGCAGCATTTGGTGACATTTTCAGTGTTGTGGTTAGGGGAGCTGGAGGAGTCAAAGATGTTCAAAAATAGCAGATAGAAGAAGAGACCTTGTTTGGGTGGGAAAATAATGTGTACAGTGTTAGACATTAAGTGTGTGTGTTCACAGGCATAGTGCAGTGGTAGATACTAGGTATGTGTGTACATGGGTGTGGTGCTTGGAGGGAGACTGGTGGGACACAGATGGTTAGAGCCTGTCAGCCTCTGAGTGCAGCAGAAGCCATGTGACTCTGATGTCATCCCGTAAGTGTGTAGAAGGAGAAGAGGATGGAGACCCAGTCTGAATCCTGGGGAACTGTCCCTATGTAAGTGACAGGTAGTAGAGGAGGGGCAAGGAAAGGAGATTGAAAAGAAGGACAGGAGAGCAGAGGAAAGCCAGGAAGTAGTGGTCCTCTAGAATAGTGGTCCCCAGCCTCTTTGGCTCCAGGGACTGGTTTCATGAAAGACAATTTTTCCATGGACTGGGGGGCTGGGAGGGATGGCAGTCAGTGGGGGAGCGGCTGTAAATACAGATGAATTTTCTTTGCTTACTTGCCTGCTGCTTACCTGCTATGTGTCCTGGTTCCTAACATGCCACGGTCTAGTACTGGTCTGCTGCCCGGGGGGTTGAGGACCAGCTCTATAGTTCAAGAGAGCAAAGAATTCTTTCAGTAGGAGCAAGTGTATGTCAGCAGTTGTTAATCTTCACCAGTCCTCTGTTCCTTCGCTGAAGACCCTTGCTGAATAGCAGCAAGGTGGTTGATGTTGTTACGTACCAGGTGGACACATGCTAGAGGCAGTTAACACAGATAGGAGGAGACTAGCTGGGGGCCAGGCAGGGTTTCTGGAGCAGAAGTGGGTACTGGTTGGCTGGAGGACAGGGGCTGGTAGGGAGGGAGCTGTGTAAGGATGGCGCAGGTATGGTTTATGACAACAGCCAGGGAGCAGCATTCATGTGAGAATGTGTTGGGGAGACCTGTGACAGGATGCATCCACAAGATGCCCCCTGAGCAGTGGCAAGGCTGTACTGCATGGGAGTCTTAGGCATGGGACAAGGAGGAAGATAGAGGGCTGTGTCCAGAGACCATACATCTGTGTCCGGGGCTTTGTTACCAGAAGGTGGAAAAGTAAGAGTTTGGAGGTAGGAATGTTTGGAAGTTAAAAGAACAAACATAACTCTCAGCCCTGTGTGGAGTAATAGGGTGTGGGTCTTGGGAGGGTGTCTCATACTGAAGTGGTGGCCCTTAGGGAGGGCCGGGCACCTTCAGGGAGAGGGCACAACATTGTTATACCAGAGATGGAGAGCTACCTACCCACTAACGGAGACTCTAGAGCCTACACGGCCCTTTCTCAGATGTGATTTTAAGGATTCTTCAGAAAGCATGTACTTTTTTTTTTAAATGCATTTAAGTGATAGTCATGTTTAGTCTGTTGAATTAGTGTTTTACTAGTATAATTCATATTTTTTTTAAGGAAATCTACTTTGGAGAGTATGCAGATTCCAGCGATAATGACTCAGCCCAGCTTAGAAATTCTACTGAGTCTGTTTCAGAAGATGATACAACTGAATCACAGAATTATTTTGGCTCATTCAGAAAAAATAAAAAAAGTAGTATATGGGAGGAAAAGCCCAAATCTCATGGACCTATTCAAGCTCTAAATACATTGGAAGTGAATAAAACAACAACTCTTGGATTTGAGACTTCAACAGCAACACTGAGAGAACCTTTGGCTCGTGAAGAACACTGGACCATGTCATCTCAATTTGTGAGTGATAGAGAAAGAGACATTTTCCAAGAGTCAAAAAAACAGACAGAGATTAGGGAAAAGGACAAGTCAGTGCAAACTGAGAGGACGTTTCCTAAGCCCACGCGAAGCCTGTGCATTGAGAAGTTGTCTGGCAGCCCAGCACAGGGGAAGGAGGCTGCCCCTGAGGAGTCAGAGCTGTGGCATTCTCCTCTCAGCAAGAGGCCATTAAATGAACCCAGTGAATCTGAAGGAAAAACCCTATTGTCCAAAGCGATAGGATCACCCACGACAGAGTTTACTAAGTGGACGCTAACTAAGGAAATCACTCCTGAATCAGACGATGTAACAGGTTCTGACCATTTGCGGAGAGCATCTGGAGAAATGGAAAAGGAAACAGAGGATATGCAAGGGTTCATTTTGGGAGAATCACCTGAATCAGAAGACGACGATGCAGTTGATGCAATGGATGCAGCAGGGCTTGATGTAGAAGCCAGCGTTTCCTCCTCTTCCTCGGTAGCATTGTCTATGTGCAGTAATCCCCAGTCGTCTTCTGGGTTAGAATGTGTTAATGATACAAATATTCCAACTAAAGTATTCCCTACTGAATTGCATCATTTGGAACAAGAATTACAAACTAAAACTTCAAACACATTACATCTGCAGTCTGAGCCACCAGAGTGTTCCGTAGGAGGAAACAGCCTGGAGAATAGCTTGCGTGCTTTCAGCCCTGAACTGAGAGCATCTAATTTTAGTGATCAGAAGAGCAGTGAGATGGAATGTACAGAAGTTGTAAAAGGCATGACCAAAATACATTTACTTCCTCAGTCAGTATTTATGAAGGCTACAAAAGATGGACAATGTCAAAGTCAAGATCCAGGAATTGAGCTCGCACTGAGTAAGACAGATTTCACAACATTAATAGATTCTCAGGCTGGCTTGATCAAGGGTGGTTTGGGTTTCCTTAAAAGCACTTCATGGCACCGTAGTGATTTATTAAGGAGAGGTGGGGAAGAAAGTCTGAGAGCTAAATCAGAACATGAAGAACAGGCAATGCCGTCCCTACAGAATAAAGGACCAGCACCCAAGCTTGATCTTCCTAGAGAAAATAATAATCCTGTGGAATTTAAGACCGCTGCATCGTTGCCTAATCAAGTATCAGTTATCACAAAGCAGGCAAGACCTGAAAAGATTCCAAGTGCTAAACTGGAACACTTGAGACTACGTGGGGATGAACCTACCGTAGCAATGGGAAAGAGTGACAATGAAACTGACGATATGTCATCGACAGCAAAATGCGGTGGGGAAAGAGATGATACAACACAGAACACCAAGGAAGTGGCTGCTGTGAAAAGCACTTCACCAGAAGTTTCTGCCTCTAGGAGAAAATTAGATTTCAATTCTCCATGTGGTTCTTTACCAGTAGAAAATTCTGATGGTTCCACAAATACTGAATTATCTTTCTCTTCTGAAAACATCTTTGTCCAAAACCAAGACATCGTGAGGGAAGCTGCAGTGCAGGGAGAAGCTGCAGTGCAGGGAGAAGCTGCAGTGCAGGGAGAAGCTGCAGTGCAGGGAGAAGCTGCAGTGCAGAAGCAAAGGCAGCTTCCTCAGGCCACAGATCCAGACTCTGGTGGGACAGGTGGCAGTGAGCCACTTCCAGCCACAGAAGTGACAGCATCAGGAGGTTTTCCTGTTGAAGAGAACCCCTGTGAGGCCTTGGCTATAGCAAACAGTTCTCCTAGCACACTGCAAAATGCTAATGAACTTTTGAAATTGAAATCTAAAAATTCTGATGGGGCTTTTCCTGAATGTTTTGTCACAACAGGAACTTCTTTTCCTTCAGCGTTCTGCAGAAAAGATGGAGAGACGGAGGGTATGTCCCCAAGTAGCCTTGCTGGCACTTTGCATTGTTACACAGGCATTCGGGAGGGAAAGGAGGACACCGAGGTAGAGGAGAGTGAGGGGCTTAGCTGCAGTGAGGGGGAACATGAGCCTGAAGCCGTGATGGGGAGTGAGCAGCAAGATGCTGTCAGAGACCCACAGAAAGATTTAGGAGATACAGACGCTGGTGTAGCTGAGACAAGACCTTCCTTAGAGATAAGTTATTTGACCTCAGCTTTGCAAGATTTTAACATAAGTTCTCTTCCTGAGCTAGACAGACTTTCTACGTCAGATGTCGTTACGTTTCTTGAGAGTTGTCAGTTAAGGGATTATAGTTCAGGGGACTCTGTTTCAGAATGTTCTAGTAAAGGAACCCTAAGTAAAGAAATGAACAAAGAACTAAAGCAAAGTGAAATATCAGGAGAAAAATACAAAAAGCAACCTTGTGAAGAAGAAACACTTGGAACCTCTGAAGAATGGATTGAATCAGAAGATGATGATTCTTTAAAAAATACAAGCCAGTTTACTCAGTGTTCTTTAGAAACACTGTCTGAGGTTCTCACCAAGATTGGGCAAGAACTTCAAACAAACTATGAAAATTGTGATGGTAAAGATACTGGTAATTTATTGCTCTTAAATATACATAACAACATGACAAGTGAAAATTTAAGAGAGAAAGTTCCACCTCAGGAGATGACTAGCTCCTTGGCACACACTTCAGAACCACCCCCACTGGCAGCCGAGTTGGACACCCGAGGCAGCTCTCCCATTAGCGGTGGACCTAATAACGAGAACACTCAGAACAGGCCAGAGGATCGCTCGGATGCAAGCAGGCACGCAGACAGTGGGGAAGAGCGCCAGGCAGAGCCTGCAGAGCCTGCAGAGCCACCAGCCCTGGTCTCTGACTCGGCAGGAGAGCCAGTGACTGAGCAAAGTGCTAGTTGTGAGGTTGAAACGACATTTCAGTATCAGATATCGACAGTGACCTCAGAAGTTATAAATGTGCTTATCAATAAGGATCAAAATCTAGTCATTGAGAACGGGGACAACTGGACAGTCATCAGTGGTGTGGCTGTTGTTCCACACGTGGAACAGGTCACACTGTGTGAGGCTCCTGGAGACATCCCTGTTTCTCAGGACCAAGGAGGGCTGGATGCTGGTCGCGTCCCAGTGACTTCTGTTGAGAAGTCCCCGGAGGCCAGTCACGCTGGCCCTCCCTTTCAGGAGCCTCCATGTGGCAGTAGTAATCTTTCATGTCCCCAAGAGGATGTTTCCAGCAGTGCTCAGAGCACCAACTTTGATAAAAGTCGTTTGCGGAATAGACCTGTTAAGCCCAGTATATGGATTAGTTCTCAAATATATGATCAAGACTTCGACTCTCAGACTGTTGCATCTGATCACACATATTATAACTCGAAACTTGAGCCATTCAGCAAAAGTAAGACTCGATCAAAGATTTCAAACAAAGATCAATCTAACAAACCAGTGAAGACTTCAGCATCAAGCAGAATTGAAGCTCATCAGAGTGAAGTTTCTCAGTCATTTTCAGGGGAAAAAAGTAATACAAAAACTCAAAGAAATCAAACTCAGACCATTTTAGCAAATGCTGATACATCTACTCCTACAGATTGTTCTCCTGACACTCTGAGTAAAATACGGCAGGAAGTGGGGCCTCCCCTGCCTCCTCTGCTAGCTCCTCTGATAGCCACACCTCCAAGGACTTCACAGCCACTTTCTCCCCTGGCACCGAGTTCTGGTCCTTCCTCACCACCCTCTCCCGTCAGCCAGATCTCTCCCTTCTGTGAAATCCCGGTTCCTCCTGTGATGTCTCCATGGCCAGAAGACCCCAGGCGCACCTCTCCTCCGGGTCCTTCTCCGTCTCCGTCTGCTGCATCAGCAGGTGAGAGGATAGTGTCGTCTCCTCTGCAGTTCTGTGCAGCCACACCAAAGCATGCACTTCCTGTGCCTGGCAGACTCCCGCCCTGCGCATCTGGCCATGCTGCTGTGGGAGGGCCTCAGGAGAACTCCGTTAAAATCCTTGACACCATGTACCCTGAGTTGTCTGCCAGGGCCCGGACCCTCAATATCCTCAAAGGGAACATTCAACTCGCTCGAGGTCCCTCCACTGAGTGTAAAAATTTACCAGGACCTGTCAGTGCTATGATAGGGTTCAAAGCAATCACTTCAACATCAACTGCTTTTGTCAAAACAGGGAGCAGCTCTGGTGGTGACTGTAACCAAGATAAAGCCAGAGATGTGGGGACTCAGCAGAATTCCAGTGGGAAAAGAACATTGTCAGCGCCTACACTGAGGAGTGCTAAAAGATTGCGCCTGGATGGTGGGTCCCCAGAACCAGAAATTGGGGCCACTGCAGAAGGAGTCCATAAGAACCTTCAAAGGAACCTCCCTCAAGCTGAAGTAACAACAGAGGAGGAAAGAAGTTGTTCTAGTCCAACCGTCAGTACGGTTTCACAGCTGCCTCTAAACCCCAAAGAAACTGTGGAGTCACATGACAAAGCCATAGCCAATGCACTGAAGAAAATTGCAGAACTTTCTTTTGATCTGTTACCTGTCATTCGTAGTCATGTATATGTGGGAAATATCTCCAAAAAGCCCGTAATGAGAGATCAAGAAAAAGAAGTTGTTTATGAGTTTAGCACAACAAAAAAGGTATGTGGCTGCTTTTCTCTAAGTGCATTAGGAATTACATGTCCTCAAAGACAGAGGCTGTCTGTCTGCAAAATGTGTAGAGGACCTTGAGCAAAAGTTTTATTTCAAAGATGAGAATTATCTATATAAACTTTATGACAAATACTTTATGTCTAATCTTTTATAAATTTGAAATATGATAAGACACTGGAGGTTTGTTTGATAATTTGTATCCCTCAAATACTTAAAACTTGAAAGAAAAAAATGTATCTGCCAGGACTAAAATTGATATTCGCACGTGATTCTGGCATGCGTAGAGGCTTAAAATAATTTCAGAGTATCAAATTATTATCACGTGATAGATCCCTTTTCCTTTAAAAGTAGTATAAGCACACTAAAGTGTTTTGATAGTCTTACAGAAAGACTCTCCAGTAGTGGATATCACAAATTTAAACAGGACCAAATGCTTGATTTAAAGATAGGGGGAAAAGAGGGATTGTGCAAATTTATATATGTAATTAGGGTTTTTGTAGTTCTGCATTTCCTAAATATCTGTTGGTACCTTGTGTGGATGATTTCCAGTGCTCAGTGGATCATACTTAAGTGGTTATCTGCATATACTTGGAGTCATTATGTTATAAATATTTATTTTTTTTTTTAGATTTACTTTCAGAAAGTAAAGAACTCCCTAAGTAATTTTGAAAGGAAATGAACAAATGTATCATTATCATTTAATGCTCCTCTTTCTGAGCAAGAAAAATGTTACCCAATATTTTAAAATCTAAACAGTATATAGAGTAAATTAGAGTTTAGAAAACAAGAATGAGAGTAGAATTATACTGAATTTAATACACATACATACACATAGATTATTTTAGCAAAAACTGAGCAATTATGACTTATTTGAGTAGTGGTAGTGACAGTAGCAACCAGGTGTGTTCAGACTTGCACTCTGGCATCTGCAGCTTTACCAACCACAGGAAACAAGATGGCTGTGCTCATTTCTTAGATGTCCCCTGCCCCATTCTTGTGGCTTACCATACTTGTCAAGTTTTTTACCAGTCACTGCTGTCATCTACCTTCTGATATCGTGCAAGTTTTATTTTTCCAATAAATACATAATTTTGTAATTTTTAGCTATTCTTAGGTAGGCGAAAGATAAATAAGCCTTTTATTTTATTTTTTTCCAATTCAGCATTTAGCAGAGTGCTTGCTTCACTCTATTCTCTCAGAACTAAAAATTCAGAAGATGTCTACAGACCACAATTACATTCATGCCCTCTGCAGAGTGTATGTGGGTATTTGTCGGCAACTTGGAGACTTGGAAAGAGCTCGCTTGTTTTGCTACAGCCTACTCAAGGAAGGTATGTGTAGATTATGACATTTTTGTATTAAAAATATACTGTTGCTTTTTTACTGTATTATACTTGGATCTATATTTTCGGCTATGTGATTGTTGTATGTTTTTTAAAATTATGTTTTATGCATTTAATAGCTTTAGCTATACCTAGCTGTTCCTGGTTTTCAGTAGGAGAATCTACTTAAACTTACTTATATCCATACATACGTTTCCGCTTACAAGTAAAGAAATATCTCTCATCACTGCATATTTGTTTTATACCCTGTACAGCTGCTTTAGAATCAGATATAGTTTCCATAACTGTGGGAATACATTCAAAGTAAGTGACAAGCCAAAATTCTGTGCCACTAGCTAGAAAGGGCAGCAACCCTAAGATGAATTCATAAGCTGGAGAGAAGAGTGGATTAGAGAGATCTGGAAAGGAGTTGGGGACATGAGGGCTGTCCTATGGTGTCTTTCCCTTCACTGCTATTTCTTCAGTCTCTGCTAATGGATCAGATTGGGAGGCATTCTTCATTATATTAAATCATTAGTATATTAAAATCATAAGATGATATAACAATACAACTTAATATTATTAATACATCAGAAGGTCTTACCCTTTACTGCCATGTCATGGGATTTATAAGTAGGATAACTGAGTCTATCCATCACTTTTAGTGTTATGAATGAAGCTGCTAAGTGTTTCAGTTGCCCATTTCATTTCTTTGTTTACTCTTTCAGTCACTCATTTATTCAACAAATCATTATGGAGTGCATGCTCAGTGTTAGGAGTTCTGTGGTGACCAAAATCAGATGCAGGTATGATTGTCCAGTGGGCCGACAGGCCGTAGTCACAGCACACAAACTGTGGAGTTAGCAGCGGTGGGTGGTAGGATGGAGAGGGGGGTGGGTTCACCCGAGACCATGTTGGATTTCTTGTTCTTGCTCAACCACAGCAAGCTCGTTCTCAGCTCAGGCTTTTGTGCTTATAGGTTTCTCGTTCTGTTTCCCTGCTTCCCTGGACTTCGTTGTGGCTCACTCCATTACTTCGTATACTTCCCTAGTGAGTGTGTGTCCCTTGTTCTCCTCTATTTGCCTCATGGCACTTACCACTCCTTACTACATCATGAATCTTGTTTGCTGTCTCTGTCCTCCACCAGCTTGCATATGCTGTAAGAACAGGGCTTTATTTGTCTTGTCCCTACTCTATCCCCACCCCAGAAAAGTGCATTGTTGGCAGCGATGACGTATCTGTCAAATGAATGAATTCTACTGAGGAAGGTGGATTTGCAATGGTCTCAGGGGTCAGTGAAGCTTTCCTTGTTAAAGTGACTTCTAAACTTGAGATGGGAAGATGCACAAACAGGACTTAGGTGAAGAGCGAGGAAGAGAATTCTAGGCCAAGGGAAAAAGATGTGAAGAAGTTCTGTGACAGGAGGAAGCGTCACCACATAAACAGGATGTAAAATTAACAGAACAGAATAGTGCAGTGAGTTTATCCTTTGAGCTGCCCACTCTTTTGAAATGGACGACAATAGTTAAAGTAGAACAGAGAAAACTAAAAAGATATTAAATGACCAAATACTCTTCAGCTGTACAAAGGAACAGACTGCTGATGTATGCAACAGCATGGGTGAAATCTCAAGAACATTACAATGAGTAGGGAAGCCAGACAGAAAACAACACGCAATACACAAATCCGTTCATAAATATTTGAGAAAGGGCAAACTAATTTATACCGACAGTAAGCAGGTCAGGGGTTCTCTGTGTCTAGGGTGAGGTGATTTCACTGCAAAGTGCCAGAGCGAGAGAACTTTCAGGGCAATGAGTAACGATTGTGATGGTGGTGGTTACATGACTTTATTCATTTGTCAAAATTCCTTGAACTGTTTACTTAAAAAAGATTGTATTTTATTGTATGTAAACTATACTTCAATTAAGTTAATTAAAAAAAGAGAGACATGCCAGAGAGTAAGAGAAGGTATTTGCAACAAAAGGAGTGTTATCCAGAATTTATA